CCAAGGGCAAAGAACCTGTGAAGGGCAAGTGTTCTCATCAAAAAACCTCTTCCCCAGGTAGTGGGGGTTGCAAATGGTAGGGAAGGCTTTTCCCTCTCTTGTTACCCTAAATTCAGAGAGATGCTGGAAGTCTAAGTAGCTCTTATGTTTCCTTGACAGCAAGGCAGGTGCACAAAGAACCACTTTAAAGGATGATTCAGGAAAAACAGTAAGATGTAGCAGAAAAAATATTTATTTCATCACACTCACACAAGTTTTTACATCTTTGTATACAAAGGAGACTAGACTAAAAATTGTTTCCTTAAAAAACTATTCCATGGGGTAAGATTTACAATGGGAACCTTTGTGTGCAAGTCCATGCCCTATAATAAATATAAAAAAATACAGGGACAGAAAGCAGAGCATATTAACCTTATTAAATAATTGAGTTACTGCATTAAAATCACAACCTGCATTTAAATTCCTAATTCAGCAATTATTTTTCTTTTTGTAATTATATGTAACCTACTGTAATGTCTGACATTCCTGTAGCAAGCAATGCCATAGATATTTCGTAAAGATGGACACAACATTGCACACAAAATCAGGTGCTGGTTTCCAAAGATAATGCTGAGGCAAACCAGTCTTAGAGAAAAGCAATGTCCTTATGGCCTGTCAAGACAAAGCTACAAAACAAGATTATTTACCCGTTAAAATCTTTCCCCACAGGAGACCAAAAAACATTCAAGCACAGTTCAAAAGGGTCATTTCAAGTGCAGCTTAAGAAATGGCAAGTAAAGTGCTTAATCATCTTTATTTATTGCCACTGTGTCAATTCAGTTTGTTTAATGACACAGGGGAAATCACTGGTTTTGGTACAGAGAGGGGAAAGGAAGAGTGTCGATTTGCCAGCCCACAGACCTGTGAATTGATTTGCACTGCTGCACCCTGACTTACAAAAAAGCACTTAAGGCATATTTACCATCACTGCTGACATCTGCTGGAACAAACAAGCGGAATCCTCCACACAATCCATTTCCTAGCTTAGACCCATTGATACGTCTCAGCAGCTCTACAAGTTCTTCTTTTGGGGAAGAAACACTGTTCCACAGGAATCTACAGGGTTTCAGAGACCAAACAGAGCTGACCCACACCTGGCTAACCCTGTGGTACTAAGTGGGTTTTAACAACTCTCCCCTTCGCACACATTGACAAAGTGTGGCCAAGAACAGATCCAGCATGTGCATCTTCTCCCTGGAGACAGCCACCACTGCTGTCTCCAGGATTCTTCCAGCCTCTGGTGGGATATTTTTCTAAAAGTGAAGAATTTTGTATTAGAAAAGAATGCATTGTTCTGCACGGAGACAGGTACAAAATGCTATTTTAAAAAATTATTTTACTCAGTTCATTGTTTCATGTCACCTTTCTTAAGTATCTTTGCTGACTGAAAAGTCCTGAGGTCAACTTCCTACTTTTACCCTCGAGCTGCCAGTTTTTTTTTCCTACTCTCAGCTGGTGATGTCAGCAACTCATCTTGTCATGCTTTTAATGTCTTAACAGCTTTGGTCAGGTTACTGTAAAATCCAGATATGCTAGATGGAAAAAAGGAATCCACCACTGTCTGGGGAAGGTAGCCACCAAGATCCGTCTGAAAGAAAGTGAGGAGCTGAGTCCTGTCTGGTTCCCTGAAAAGACAATGCAAGTGATTTTATAGCCAGCAGTTTAAGAGCATTAAGAACTTTTCAATGACTCTTTCAATGACTCAATAGAATAGATATTTCTATGAAGTTTTTTTTTTTTAACAAACAAGTAAATGTCCGTGAATGTAGCTACCGAATTACAGATTAAGTAGGCCCTAATTAGCTACTTGACTCGGTTTATAAATTACTATAAATTATAATAAACAACTAGATACTCATTTACCAAAGATTAAGACCATATTTGTATGTTTTGCTGAATCTCTGTTTAAGGGGTCAGCGAGAATCCTACCATGATGACAGTTCCTGTAACATTAAATACTTCCCTCCAGGAAAGGAAGAGAAACTAACTCATTGCCCAAAAATGAGAACACAAAAAGGGCACTCAGTCATAATGATTACCAGGAAGACAGACACATGCCATTGCCAAGAGGCTACAGGTCACATGTGACCACATACACATAAACACACCACACAATGGATAAGAAGAGCTTTAGAATTCAAAACAGTCAAGTAGATAATTTCTTACCCTGGAACAGGTATACAGAGACAGCCACAAGGGTAATTAAAACCTCTCACAAAATTTGGTCGAGGTGGACACAGTGGGTGTTCCACATTGGTGGCTGTAAGGAAAAGCAGTGAAGAAAAGTGTCATTCTTACAGAAGCTGGGAGAGTGCTCGGTACTCAAAGCACCAGCTGGGAAGCAAACTCACTATATGAAAATATATTTAAAAAGAATGGCAATATAATCCTCTTAGTGTGGGGCTATGTCACAAAACTGGCAGGAAAGACCATTAAAAGGAACCACTCTGGCCTTAGAATGGGGAAATCAAAGAAGAGTTGAATTTACAAGCAATTGTTACTGAGCTCTGAAGGAAGCATCAGGACACTTTGAGGGAGTTGCATTGAACTCCTGTTGTGCAAGGTCATTCAGGATACCTCCAATAAAAAATGTCACATGGATATGCCCCTTGGCTGCTGAGAAGCTACACTCTAGCAAGTACATAAATTCCTGGCAAGGCATTCCTGAACACAATGGGCAAATAGGACACCTGAACAGTGAGGGAATAAAAGTACTGACTTGGAACAGTTAAACCATAGAGTGAAAGTGAAAAAAACAAAGAAACATCCTTCCGTATAGCAGCAGCCCCTTAAAAATCAAGATTACATTTGTTTTCATAAAAACAATCATTTCCACATACAGGAGTGGTACATTTATTCAGTGGCTTCATCAAAACCTAGAGGCAGTGCAGAAAATGTTAAAATGGGATTTAGCCTAAATAGGACTTCTTTTGGAAAGTTCTGTAAACTTGTAAAACAATAAAACCACACACAAAATATCCTAGAACTTAATAGTAAATTAAATACTTATTCAATCTCAAAAGCATAGCAAGGGGAGAAACCGGCCAACAATATCACCATTATCTTAGTGTTAAGATGATTTATATAGTCTGAGAACAACACAGAGAGACAATTACTATTTTATCTTCTGATTAAGATCAGGTCAACAACTACTGAGCAGCATGTTACTTAGTTTTTATTCTATATTTGTTTCTGGTAGCTGCTGGATATCTCCTAACGTAACATGAACCTGTTGGGAACACAAGAGCCTTACCAGCAGATAGCAATGTCCCATCTTCATATTGCTTCATTACTACCACATCCACAAATTCTCTTGGTGAAATAATCCTCATGAAAGCTGAAGGGGTTGTGGTTCTGCATACAGAGATAGTCTGGGAATCAAAAAACAGAATTATGCCAGTTAATGCTTTCTGAAGTACATCAGAAAAATTGATGGAAAAGAAAAAAAAAAAAAACAAAAAAACAAAATGAAAGAAAAAAACAGGTTTGTTATCCCAGTATTGTCAGGCTGATCCAGACAGAGACACCAGACAACTTTTTAAGATCTCTTTACCTCCCAGCACATAACATCGGTTGTCTCATGAGGCACGACAGGAAGGGCTGTGCAGAGCCCAGCGCTGCTCAACACACGCTGTCCTGTCACCAGGACAGTTTTTAAGGAACTTACATCGGTGAGGGCTTCGATGACCTCGAAATCCTTCACGTTTTGGTCCCACTTGGTCCTGAGCCCGCCGGCCACCGGCTTGATGCATTCCCAGACATCCCGCGGGCTGGCGGGCAGGATCCCCTCTCCCCTGTACCTGCGGCGGGACGAAACGAAACCAAATGTCTCTCCACCCTGCCCGGCCCCTCACGGCGGGCAGGATCCCCCTCCATCCCCCTCACCCCGGGAACGGGCCGTACTCACAGGTTACCAGCGAACTCCGCCGAGGGTCTCCAGGACACCGCGACCTCGCCCTGCGGGAGGGGAAGCGTTCAGCACCCGGGCCGGCCCCCGTCCCTCCCGCCGCGGCCCCGCTCACCCACCGTGCTCCGGCAGCCCCTCCAGCCGCCGGGGTCCCGCCGGTACAGCCGCAGCTGCTCGGCCGCCGCCTCGGCGCGCTCCTCACGGTCCATGGCGGGCGGGCGGGCCCTCCCCGCCGCCTTTGAGCGCCCGCGCCGCGCCGCCCCTGGGCCGACGGCGGCACCGCCCCGTCACCTGAGAGTCACGCCGGGCCGGCCCCGCCGCGCCCTCCGGGGGAGCGGGGCTGAGGGAGGCCGGCCCGGGTAGCGGGGACCCCCGGGGTCAGCGGGGCTATCCCTCCGAGGCCTGCGGAGAAACGAGCCCCAGTACCCCGGAAAGGTCACAGGGATGGGGGCCGGAGCGCTGCCGTGCGCCTGCCTAGAGATGGGGCCGCCCCACGCCCGCCATAGTGTGATCCCAATCCCAGTGACGCGGGGCGGGGGGGGTATAAAAATCTTCAGCGTCTAAAGAGAGTGTAAAATTGCAATTGTGCGTGAAAAAACGGGATAGAATTTAGAATTCAATTAGGAGTAATGAAGCGAGCTTTTTAAAGGCCATGGGTCGAAAGTTTTCCACTCTTGAGAAGCTTATCAGGCTGGGCTGAGTTTCACCAGAAAGTTAACAGAGGACCTAGGAGTTAATCTAGAAGGCAGGCACGCGTTGCTGTGATCAAATAACTGCATTACCCAGAGATTATTATTCAGGGAGGGCCTTGTAAAAAACCTCACTATTTGCTCTAATTAACTTTTTTCTCCCTGATTTGTTTGAGCCGTAGTATGTTCAAATAAGACACATGAAGATGTCATACTCTAAGTAGTAACTCCATTTGTGGGAAACTGATTCCCAGCTGAATTTATTCAGTGGAAGCATCTTTAGCTGTGACAGTGTCAGATAGAGAAAGCCTCATCTCACGTATTTTTGTACTGGTTTAAAGCAAGTGCCCCAGGTACACAGCTTCTGATTTTCCAGTAAGTGGATATTTTGCTTTTTTAACAGCATAACAGTAAGGAACAACTTGGAATATTTTTCTCTTACAAAATTTGCAATATGTCAGTTGAGATATTAAAGCAAGGTACAGTAAAACACAAGGCTAACTATGCTTTTTCCACCTCGAGTGGCTGCATACAGGTTGTTACAAAGACTACTAATTGTCACAATTACTCTGGTAGACCTCAAAGAGAAAATTCAATAAATGCACATATACCTGTTGAAAACACAAAAAGGTTGAGGCACTTTCTCAGACATTTGAGCATATCAGTTCATTAGGCTCAGGCATACTTAGATCAACACTGTTTTTTGATTTCTTTTTGGTGAGTTTTGTCCCAGGTTTTGGATACTTGTCCTTGCTGTGAATGACCTGGATGTACTGGTCATTGCTGCTGTTCTGTGGATCACTGCTGGATTCAATGGAAATGGAATCAGATTCTGTTAGAGATTGCTCCTGTTTTTGCTTTGATTTTGGTTTCACACGGGGCTCAGGATAGTTCAGGTGTACTTTTTTGTAAGCATATGGAGGCCTGTCCAGGTCCAGCTCAAAACCATCATCCCAGGATTTGCAATGCACTCTGGCAGCATGTTCCCCGATGTAAAACTGTGGTGCTGGGCGAAGATCAGACAGAGAGCGAGGGCGGTGAGATCTGCTCATTAATTGTCTCCCAAGTTCTTCCTCATCCTCGTCATCTTCACTGGGATGAGAGGAATACATCTCGTGTGGTGTTCGAACCACGTATCTTCTGACATGGCGTGGATACAACTCAATAATGTCTCCTGATTCCTCCTTTCTGAAATGCCTTTGGAGTCGGGAGGTAGAACGGAGCGATTTTTTGCGGGGCTCATTTTCATTAACCAGAAAATACCTGGTAGCATATGGTCTGCATTCCACAAAAACAGGAGCCCCTGCCCCAAGGGCATCCGGATTTACCTGCCGAATGGCTTTTCTGAAGAGAGGCTCAGAATGAATATCTTCAGTGTGCTTTTTGAAAGTCACTGGTGTGCAGGACTTTGTTTTGCAGAGCTCACTTGTGCTCCTATGCACAACACCTGGGTATCTTTAGGAAGGAAAAAAAAAAAAAGAAAATACTGAAATACTTATCAATTAATGTAATTAAAACATATTAAAAATTTGTTGCTCTGGAAGTCAAACACTAGGTTGAAAGACTGAAGATTGTCATATTTCCACTGTTCCAAATTTTTAGAACCATTTTGAGAAACATACCCTAGAAATTAGGAGGTATATTTGTTCTTCCTGGGGAAGAGGCAGCAGGCAATTGACCTCTCATGTTACGTTCCCTTTCTGTTTTCTTATTATTCTGAGAACTATTTTTTATCTGATCATTTGGAAAAAAACACAGCAGGTAGCTTAAAGCGTCCATCGGCTGATGTCCTAAACTGATTGCCCTACAACTAGACCTGCACAGTGTTTGTTACTGTGTTTGTCTTGTTCCTGGAAACAGTATCCCACACAAACTATTTTAATTATGTGCCCGAGGGGAAGCTTAGTATTTACATTTGCTCAAAGTATGTGTAAACTCCATCAACTACTTAATTTCAAAAGGTTTATAATCCCATCTCAAGGGAGTGTTAAGGAGGTGGTGTCACCAGCAATATGAATAGTATCCCTGAACTAATCTGCTTTTAAAAAGTTTCTCAGCTGTCTAACAGCTCCAGACAGACTGAATGCACAGATATTTGGTAAATAAACACAGCTATTTTGTCAATAAACACACATACGCCATGGAGCTGCTGGAATAAATGCCATTTCAAAACCAAAGCAGACTTACCTGTTTGGGATATGATCATTTCTTGGTTTCTGTACACTTGTTATGGAGGGAGCTGGCGTTAAAGAGGTTGAAGTTGTGGGAGTTGCGTTGACAGGTCTTGCAACATCAGTTGAGGGCACGGTTTGGGGCACGGACTGGGAAATGGTTTGTATTCTGGTGCCTTTGCTCGCAGGAGATTCAAAGTTCAAGACACTGCCATTCTTTCGGGGAGTTGAGGACCGAACAGAAGACTCCTGGCCAATATCATTGTCTTGGTCTGGTCTCTTGTCATTAATATCCAGATTTTGGATTCTGGCTAGAGAACAGAAATTATTACAGGAACTATCCAGGTCTCTACATTTAGAAGCTGCTGTGTAAATGCAGTGGCACAAACTCCTCCTTCAGTCAGGGATCCAATGCCAACAGAACCCACTGTGTTCAGAAAAGAGAAGCTGGTGCCACAGTGGGAGACATAGTGATAAAGGGGTGGATCCTCATACTGAAGTACATGATAGATGGAGTATTGGGGACATAGAAAAAACACTGGATGTTGCACTGTAGGATTCCAAATTGGGCAACAAGCCATTACCTCTTTTCAAGATACCCGATCTAGTTCTCAACATACGCAATACAGTTTTTAAAATGTAATTATAGCTCCCTACATGTATGAGAAATCAAAATGTTTTTGCATCCAAATGCTTAATTAATAGTGGTATTTCTAAAGCTCACCTACTTACCTACTGCCATCTGAACCACCTTTTTCTTATCCTCAGTTCTTTCCTAAAATACATTCAGAAGAATGAGAAGCAGAAAATGATTATGGATTAGAGAGTAAATCCCCTTCTCTGTAAAGATGAAACATACAGGATTGGTTTTACATTATGAAACACTGGAAGTGACTTTAGGGATTTAATTAGGCTTGAACTTTGCTGAAGACCCACCAAATCACATGTAAAATTGCTTTGCACTGTACTTACTGCTTGGATCTTCATTCTCAGTTGATTGTTGGTGAATTTTAATGATCTTGCAATACTTTGTAGGTAGTAGATTAGCATGCTAGAAGTGAAAGAGGTGATATTAGTCACTTCAAACATTCTTGACAGTTTCCCTTTGAGGGTTTATAGGTCATCGAAATGATGTACAGGTTCAGTTGTTGCTCTGTATCATTTTCTTATACAACGATAATCGATCACAGCCTTCTTTCAAGCAAACGCATAAAAGAAATAAATGACACTGAAAATAGATATAACAGCAGTTCTAATTTCACCTGTGGTTTTTACAGCTCTTTTCATTGTCCATGTAAGCCTGGGTGTATTTCTAGATTTTTTTTTTTTGAATTCTGGACACATAATTTTGTTAAATATTGTCTTGTGTTTTTTTCCCCAGTCCAAGGTTACGGAACAGAGACACCAGAGTTACGGCTGAGCTTGCACACTCATACCAATGTAATTTTGTTGGCTAACTGAAATAACACCTTGTTTACCCTGGCAGAGCTGAGATCAGATCCTGGCAGATTATGGCCTGACATAATGGATTACACTGGCTTTCAGATGAAGTAGTCTCACAGACTTCATACCACAAATATTTACATATGTGCTTTGCCATCAGTTTGAAGCGGTCAATAGATTTATTTAAATTTGTAAATATGACCATATTTACATGACCAGGATATTAGAGGAAAAAAGTTACAAATAGGAAGTGTTGACTTGATCTTTCTCATTTGTTTGAAAAGCCCACTGGTAGAACAAACTCTGCCTTCGTCTTTAGTTTACAGGGAGAAAAACGGTACAAGGGTACATGCAAGACAAAAGAGATTTCACAGAAGCAAAGTGAATTTCAAACATCTCAAAGTTGATATTAATTCCCAGCTAGGAACAATTATTTAGAATCTAAGTAAGAAAAGACTTCCACTGGAGGGTCTGCAGCAAGTTATATTAAATTAACACTTAAGAGCAGACAGTCATAATTGATTTATCTTGTCAGAAATTGGGATGACTGAGTAGCTTCTTTAAATGACACACTAAGCCCTGTTCACTGTCATAAACTGAACTAAAGACCACGAGGAAATGGAAAAATTATTTCTGAGGAACTCTTGAAAGTGAACTTAACTTCCTGGAAAAAGCAGCACTGCAAGCCTTGACACAATATAGTGAGCTTGCTCTAACACAGTATCCCAAAACAAGAAATTCCTTTTGATAATGCAGTAACAGTCTTTAACATACAGTTATTCCTGTCCGATCCATACACCATATATTCAGTGAGGTGTTGGATTTTTTTTTCATGTATGCTTAATAAAATTGCAAAAATGCAGTGTTTGTTCCTCAGTGTCAACATTTGACTCTCTAGAGATAAGGCCAATATTAATACAATCAATTTAACCTGCCTGTGAAAACCAAAGTACTTACAATAAAAGTAGTAGTGCAGGGAGGACAACCACAGGACTGCTGATGTAAGTAATCACTGTGTTGAACCACGTGGGAAAATCATTTTGAATTGTTTCAGAAACGATATCATATATTTTTTCTTGACCACTAGAAGAGGTGGGGGGAAAAAAAGGTAAAATTAAGTTGTAAGTAATCCAAGGTACATTTGTTAAGCAATGTTGTACCGAATAAACAAGAAGTTTCATCCAAAACTACTTTGAAACATTATAGTGAAAAGGAAAAAAAATTAAAAAAAATAAAAGCAACTTGTTCATTAGTTGCTTTTAAACAATGTTTTTCCAAAGCACAAAAGCATTCACGAAACTTGGAGGGTGCTTGAATTGAGACACGAGACAGTGATGTGTGGGAGATTACATAATTCAATGCAATGTGCCACCGAGCAAACATAACTGAACTGTGTCTATAAAGCAAATACACTCAGAACATTGACATATTCACTTTATTAAACCTTAAACTGTAAAACATTGGCAGCTGAAAAGCATTTATTGTAAGAGGGGGAAATAGAATCTTTGCAGTTTTCATTAGTCAGTTCTAACTCACCTGAAGGGACCACAGCTTAAAGATGGCTTATAGCGGGCAATAGCAAAAATTGTTGGTAACATGCATAAGAACAACATAAACAGCAACATGGCCAAGTAGAAATTATTGGACCTGCAAGAAGGTGCAACAAGTTTCAGATTATACTAATCAGAGAGAAAAACAGAGGCAACTTAAAAGGTTCAAGTCTGTATCTACCTATCAAGATCCACATTTCTGAAACATTAAAATCGTTCTGCTATAATTAGAAAGTCTGGACAGAGCTGGTATAAACAGACTCTTAATGATCAAAATCCTATTTACGGTGCTTTCCAGAGACCTCTGCGGCAGCCAGAGGACTGTTTACTGCATAAAAACTGACCTTACTGTCCAGTTGTGTTGGGGGAGAAAAAGAACACTGGCACAAACTGACTCATCTTCCAAACACGTTACAAATAATGGATTCTTAAGAATTAAAGATGCCCTAAATTATTTTCGTTTTGAGTAAACAATTAAGATATTCATCATGATAAAAGAAAAATGGGGAAAATCGTTGTGTGATGCAACAGAAAAAACTAATCTACCTCACAGCTTTCAAGGAGAGAAACATGAAAAAATAGGACTTGGAACAGTTAACACATCTAGGTTATTGTGCTCGAGCATATTTGTATGGAAATAAAGCATTTATGTCAGGCCATATATAGCTGTCTAGGAATATTCCCTGACATATTTTTCAGTTCTTGCATATCTTCAACTACCCTGCTTTACAAGACCTCCAGTTTCTCAGTGACTGGTTTTTTCCACAGACCTTTGCTATCAGTATTACTGTGAAATTTGATTGTCAACTTTCAGAGCTAAAATCTCCTTAATTTGATTCATATGCACATTTCCATTGTCTGCATATGATTTATTCCCTGTCTTTAGTTCTCATCCTGACTCACCGAGATGCTCTGAAAACCTGCTGATGTGGTACATTGCACGTTAGCACAGCCCAGCTCCTGAGATACATGAGTCCAATCAACTTGAGAACATTGAATGCTGGTAAGCAAGGTGAAAAGAAAGCTCCCATCCTGCAAAAATAATGTCATGTCAGTGCTCAGTGTTGCCAGAAACCATTTGAATGACAAAAAAAGAAGACACCCCAAACAAGAAAACAACAGCTCACTATTAATAGATAATCTGCCAATGTAAAAGACCACATTACCAATATCCTACTTGAATAGGTTTCATTGAAATCATCAGATTGACTTAGCAATCAGACAACAAAGAACAAGAAAAATCACTTAAGGGCTACATACCAGATCATTCCTTGGTTGTAGACCAAATGCAATACATTCTCTGCAATTTTGAATTCTCCATATTCTGGCTACAAGAAACACAGCGTAAGATGGATACCTCTGTCTTTATCTTGTTTTCAGAACATTTATTTGAAGCATTTGACTGAATTAGTTTGCAGACAGCACATAGCCTGAAGCATCCAGATCAACTACCAACTTTTGGCAGGCAGTGGGAACACAGCAAAACCTACTCTGCAGCCAGGGATTAAATTAACTAATTCCTCTCTAGTTTACTTCACTTCTTTAGTTAAGGACAAAGAACACTCCTCCAAAGCCTTCCATAACAACAGCTTCTTGCTAACCAAGTATTACTGTAGTTTTCTTAAAGGGCTGCTTGCTGTTGGTTGTGGTTTCTTGGACCATTATCTTTGCTACAAATAGATGTTACAGCTACAGAAAAGAGTAGGGAGCAACTCCATGCCCTCTGTCTCACCTTTGACTCTGGTATTGCTCCATGATCTCATTTTGGGAAAATACACCAGAGACATGGGAGTAGGCTTGAGGAAAAACATTCAGTCTCAGCATTTACCCTGTGCCCTCCAATTTAAACTCAGTGTGAGCTGTGCCTTTATAGATGTGTGCTACCAAGAAATTATTCATTTGTGCCAAGACTTCAAGGATATTCAGTACTGAGGAAAGGAGCCCACCCATCTTCAGCATCTTAGTTTGATAAAATGAGGACTGTACTTACAAACTTGCTTTCTAGATCCCAGCACCAGCAGTCACTTAAATATCGGACACACAGTCCACGGAAAAAATCAATTAGCAGGATGCTTGCGACTGTGAAAATCATGTCGATAATTGAAAGCTTTAGCATCTCCTGAAATACACATTGTTCACACATACTGAGTCATTCTGAAGGCAAATGGACTGCATATGGCTCTTTTGCATTTGTGCTTGTATTTTTGGCTCAGCTCAGTATTCTGATATGAATTGAATATATAAATTACTTCCTTTTAAGCTTTTTCCTTACTTGTCTTTGTTCTGGCAAAGAGAATAAATATAATCAAGGGTGCCTTCTATTGCTTGCAGCAAGAAAACTCTGGTTATGATGGTATCAAACTTTCTTTTTAATGACTGTTCTGAAAATTTATCTAGTGAAACTAGAACAGGGTGATTTTTCTATTTCACCAAGTCCTTTATTAAACTGACTGTTGCAATACATACTTGCTAAGTGCTTCACAATGAGAAAAATCCTATTATTCATACAAACCCAAACCCCAATGGCATAGGATCATCAAGCCATAAAAGACAGCTGTCTAGGGCTTACAAAGGAATGTGATTATCCTATACTTAATTGAGCTTTCAAAATATAAAATTAAATAGAAAAGGTTCAGTTCCAAACACCACTAGCCCATTCTGGGGAAAAAACCAAACATTCAAACCCCTCTATTTCCTATGAGACTGTACAAAAGGAAGAGGGGTGTGTGAGAATAGAAGTCAGGGTAATAAAACTAGGAGAGGTCTTTTTCTCCCAACACTCAAACAAGACCTTTAATATGCTCACTGAAACAAGGAGCTCGGCAAGTCAAAAACACACCAGCATCATTCTTAGCCCAGTGGCCTAGACATGAGTGTGACTGAAAGAGACCAGAGCCTCAAATTACACCTTTTGCATCTTGTGTGGTTAAAATTTCTCTCTCTGTGCGTTAGTGCCCCTGACAGTCATTCAAAATAAAGGCCACAAATAATATACCCTTAACACAAAGGAAAGCAAAAAGTGTCATATTAAATCTGCAGATTTTCTTCACCCCACTATGGGAACATGGCACTGCCACCCAACTGGCCCCTTTCCTACAAATTGATGGTATTTTGAAACCTTTTGTTCTTGTCTTCTCTTCCTCTGAAGCAGTGAAGAGCACTTGATTCTCTAGTGATTTACTGAGGCAGAATGAATAGAGACTTCAGATATTGTACAAATGACTAAGAGCACAATCTCATGCTTGTTTTGGGTCTGCATCTCCACGTATTGAGGCAGTAACCTGAATCTGCACAGGGTGCATGTTGTTGCTTATATGTTTTTATAGTCATGTTTCTCTGTATGAGTTAGTAGGACATATCCTATTAAAATAGGATTCATATCATGCATCTGTACAGATCTGCCTGTGCAGAGCTGAAGACAGAGACCAAAGCCTGGCAAAAGAACATTTGTATAACACTAAACATACTGTAGATATCAAACAAAATCCAAGCTTGTATCTGTGGCTTATGACTTAGCATAGCCTTTACTCGTTCTACACAATCCTTAGCTAAATTAGCTGAATTCTGGACTTTATATGAAGAAGAGCTCTAAAACCAAATACAGCACAATATGATTTTAATTTTTTGTCAAATGTGGATTAGGAATAAGCTGATGACACAATAGAACAGTTACGTACTTGACCAACATACGTCTCCCAGCACTGATCCTGTGGGTTCTGGGTGTTAAAGGAACTTGTTTTGTTAACCAGTGATTCAGAGACCATCAAGTCTTGAGTGCGATGCTCTTCCAGTGTGACAATGCCGCTTCTCTTAATTTGTACATTAGGAATAGTTAAATTGTCGTCTTTAGAAAGAGTTTTGGTTGCTAAGGAGGTGGTAGAATTACTTGCATTGCTGTTAACGCTGGAGACCTGAAATAATAAATGTCCCCAAAGCTACTTTTTAACTCTACATAGGTGCAGATGTCTGTCCCTTCTACACACATTTCTTTCACATATTTTCCAGCAGCAGTTAGGTGACTGTTAAGTAGCTGTCAGTGCACAGAATCAGATGAAACTTGTAAGGACAGGACTGAAAGCTGATTTTAGGTAGCTGGAAATATTTGGCCCTAAAGTGATAGCTTTTTTTTTTTTTTAATAGTTCAGCTGTGCACAGAAATCTATTTATCTTGTTACATTAGCAGTCAAATGGATCCATCTATCCTAAAAAACTAATTTAAAAAACTGTAAGTAAATTACTAAACTTAACATTACAATCCTATTGAGCTGTAATATATTTTAATCAATTTCAAATAAATTGTCATCTGACTTCATATAAATCACAATAAATGGAATTCTATCTATGAAGTCTGCTAGCTTTATACATCAGAAAACTCCAAGTTAAACTTACAGTGACACTCATACTGTCCACTTTATCCAGGAGTGCAATGATTAAACTGTAGAGGTTTCCCAGGTATAGAACAAGAACCCTGCAAACAGAATAAAATACAGGTTATCAGCATTGTTATCCCATGGAATTCTCATACATTCTCTGGTTTGGCTGGACTAAAATATGTGACCAGAATATAACTCATCTCTTCCTCCCTTTTCCCCCAAATATTTCTACACTTCATAATGCCCATACCTGGCAAGCTGGAAGCGAAGAGTGGTCCTTGGATGATACATCTCCAGAGCTGCCACAAGTTCAAAAGCAGAGGGTGCAATCATTGTGATCAGTGACACAACCACGCTTACCTACAGAACAGAAATATGCAGCATTTCTGTAGCTTTTTATGCAGAACCTCTGTGGAACCTTGGGTGCTAAATGAAATACTGCTGAGGCACATGCTTTGGTGATTGCTCTTCTTGGAGGATATGCTTTAAAAATTTGTTATTGACATTAGTAATAAGAGTAGTTATGATCCAAAGTTGTAGATTTGGAATACCACTCAGGAGTTTTTACTCTAGATATTGTAGCTTTAAAGTTCTACTTTATTAATTAAAATAAAAACTTAATATGTGGGAAATATGAAGCCAGAGTCTTCCTCTGAAATGAATGAGTGGCTTCTCCATACTCAATCACTTCCTACTCTCCATTTCTGAATGGAAATATTTACACAACATTTGGTATCCCCCAGCTGGAATCCACTGGTGTCAAAGTCGATTCCTTTTTGGTCCAGCAGCCCAGTGTTTGTTCAGTTCAATTATGGGTGCAAAAGCAGAATTGTAAGTGACAGGAGAGTTTAAGTTTTGTCCTCACAAAATAGGGACCTGCTAGAACAGCAGTCTCTGTGAAATGAGGACCTGCAGCCTCCCCCTGCCCACTTCAGCTCCACTAACACCTGTCTGCAGAGCAAAGGGAGCAAGAGAGTGAAGACGGATCCAGGTAAGCACCACTCGTTCCTCATTTCTCCTGGCTCATCTCTTGTGATTTACACCTACGTGCACACTTGCTACAGACAGCCCCGAGACAGTAATCCTGCTTCTACCACAGAGGTGGCATAAAGACAGTGTACCTCATTTTTTTCCCATAGAGTCAATTCCTTTTTGATGCGCTCTAACTTTTGGGATCGATCCACGACGAAGTAGATGATGTAAATACTTCCAGCAAGTGAGAGAAGCACAAGGATGTTTGCAATAATTCTTAAGGTTATAGTCACTGCCCTATAAAAAAAGAAAAATACAACCAATACAGTAGGTTGTCTGATGACAGCAGGGGTCATTTCTAACATGGTTTAGAAGTACGAGACAAGCAGATTAGCACTGATATCTGCATCGAAACAGTGCTTTGAAAAGTACCTCTGATCTCATATACATACAAGTTTTTGCTTTTCTTCTTTTCCTGCTCTTCCAGTATAGCTTCCTTGAAAGAAACACAGCATTACCATTTTAATAATATCCAGCAAAAACAATGCACATATATTTCACAGAAATTAAGGTATACTAATAAAAAACATCACATCTGGAAGTGCAAGCAGAGAAATACCTCTTTGTCCTCATTGCTTTGTAGCAGTCATATGTGAGCTTAAATACTGAAGGACATTTCTGAGAAACAAATACACAGTAAGCAAATACTTGTGCACTTTTGGTCATGCATGTTCAGGGGGATATAACCAGGGGTTTACACCACCAGATTTTTTGCAGGATACACCTATAGAAACTGGGTGTCACTAGTATAATACAAAAATGTCAGAAGTTAACCTCATTCATTGAAATACCTAAATGTCATAGCTTACTAATTTATTCTTGGCACAATTTGAAGTAATTTTGTTCAATGACAATGAGAACACACCAAATTTGGGAAATTAATTACTTTTGATAACACCACATATGCTCTTAAATTCTAAATGGAAAACATCTGTATTTATAGCAGTTTTCTAATATTGAGAGAGCTGTAAGATGTCTCTCCATTTGTTATGGAGAGATGAAATAAAATATAAAATCATAAAATATCTCAAGTTGGAAGGGACCCATAAAGATCAGTGAGTCCAACTTCCTGCTGCTCATAGGACTATTTAAAACTAAACCATTTGACTAATAGCATTGTACAGATGAACTTCAACAGGCTTGGTGCTATGACCCTCTATAGGAAGCTTGAATAATAGCTGATAAAATAAAGAAGAGCAATAATTTGTGTCCAGGAAGTTATAAGCCATAAGAGAGAGATATAAAACTTATTACCATTTTAAAAAACATCTTGCAAAATACGAGATGTGTTTCTGCTTCTCCACCTGTTATAAAGGAATCTCTAAGGCATAACACACTCTCTTTGCATAAAAACAATTACACATTTTATAAAGTTGTATATTTTCCCGTCAAAGCAATTGTTAACATGAATTTGATTCTAACACTCAGTGAAATTTCATCAGAAGCAAATTTGTCACACATACATTGGCATTTCCTGTCACACATACATTGGCATTAAATGAAAGTCTCCCGAAGAAGGACACAATGACCTTGCTGGGGCAAAATGTCAGCAAGTAGGATGTGCCTGCAATAGCACACAGGTCTGATGCCAGCCCTCCCCTAGGCAAACAGATCTGTAAATGAATGCCAGAAACCATAAGAAAGTGCAGGGGAGTCAGAGGAAGGACTTACAAGGCTTACAGATTAACAAGCAAATCAACTTGAAATAATTCGAAGGTCAGTTGCTCACCCTAATGCTGTTGACTATGGCAGCAGTTTTGCTTTCTGCAGCCTCAGGGTTTCCTATCAAATAGTCCCAAGCACAGAACAATCTCCAACAGAAAGTGTAATTTTCATCAGAGGCACTTGCTAAACTCATTCTTGAGTTCTTTGCCATTCTGTAAAAAAAATAACAAACATTTAACTGTTATTGGTGTGTGAAAATGAACATGAAGAAAACCACCGGTTTGGTTTAGAGTTTTCAGATGTCTCTTCATTTAGAGCTACAAAAGGTTTGCAGAAATTAGTGTCGTTTTTGGCAGCTTTCTGAAGAACAGAAAACAGGGTGAGGTTCAGCACATTAACTTCAGTTTACATCTAGTGTAGATGTGACTCACTGTGGAAGGGCATTTTGATATTTACAATCTTTATAGCTGACAAATAAAGCAAATAAATCTCACTAGAACTGTGGACATATTTCAGTTTTACAATCTCCAGGTAGGATCCAGCTGGAAGACACCATCACTAAGTTTGCTGTTACTGTAATTACAAGCTTGTTTGGCATTACTAGTGATCATGGAAAAGATCAGTTTGTTTTCCCTATTGTTTACACCTTCAAAATATCTGTTATTGCCAAATAGAAACCCAGTGCTATTTTAAAGACCTTGGGAAAAAGAAAGAAAACTCCTCCTACTCATCTCAGGTAGGCAAGGAGGCAGAATATTGCAAAGTGTAAGAAATGAAATATAATGGCTTATGAAAAAAGGGCATCTGAAAGGACAACATTAAAGGGGGAATTGTACCTAGCTAAGGAAAGAGTCACTGAGCTAAGTCAGAAGGAGAAGAGCTAATCATATCTAGAAACTGCAGCTGCATAGATCAGTGTCAGACATACCAGTGACCCTTGGCACGAACCAGGAGATAGAACAGAAATAAATGAAAAGGTTTGACTTCAAAACTGAGAGTTATTACAGGCAGCGCTAAAATGTCCCCGGACTGCACAGTGCCAAATAAATAGGTATCCAGAAGGGAAGGGAAAGCAAATCAGGGGAGGATAGAGTGACCTTGCCCCTTCTCCAAGCATTGCACATCCCTGGATTTATGGTCAGCACTGGCAGTTTTGCTCTCTCTCCTAAGTAACTCCTACTCCTGCCCCTTTGACAGTAAGCTGCTGAAGCAATGTAAATGATAGCACACCTAAGAGGGAATTTTTATATTTGTATTTCAATAGAAGGAAATAATAACGCCGAAAGCACTACACTTCAACCATAAATTTCTGACATAGCAATATTTATTACAGAAAAGAGGAGAACAGAAGGGTTTTCCGTGAGTGTTGGGCGTAACACTACACAAACACAAAGCACACAGATGATCATTTGCACTGCCCTCCTTTTATAGACTGGGAAATGGAACAGAGAGTGAAGTTAACGATAGCAAGATAAAGAGCAATCTAGAATTAAACTCATTCTGCCTCCCTGATACTAGCAGGCTTGAATATTTTAATAGAACTGCACAGAATAAATACAGAGGAAGTGGTATAAATACCATCACTGATTGCCTGAACACACAAGCTTATGAAGAGCAATAGATGGGAGGTCTTACTTTTTGAGAAGAATGATGAAGCTGTAAGCAAACACTGCCATTCCAACAAGGAAGTAGGCAAGAGGCAGCCTGTATCCAGCTTTCCCAATCTTCCTGTCACGACCGTAGTAGCCATAAAACAAAACAGAGTACTGGAGGTAGCCCTGCAAAGACCAGAGACTGTCAGTAAGAGCAGTAACTAAGGATTGCAACAGAACAGCAATAGTGAAACAAGAAAGAGTGGTTTGAGTCTTGCCCCCAGTGACCAGATGGTGTCCAGGTCTTGAGCAGATTCAATGTGCTCCTTGGGGATGGTCTTGCTGACGGTGCTGCCGAACGGTGCTCCGGCCAGTAGCTGGGGAAGAGAGAGAAGGGCTCAGGTCTGAGCCAGGGCTGCACAGTAGAACCCATCAAGAGCTGCCTGCACGGGTGGTACTATGTCGGTAAAATTTGATCTCAAAATGGTATTTCAGAATTAAATTATTTTTCCTTTGAAAAAGAGAAAAATGGAAGTGAATACCTTTTTTTTTTTTTTCCCCACTCTACTTTTGGAAGAAAAATCAGAGATTCCCATGTTTCTTGAGAACATTATTAAAGCACAGGGTAGGTGAAGCAGAATAATATCTATGAATAATTAACAAAGTTAAATGAAAATGACAGCCTTACTTTCATGCAAGAACTAAAAGTTGTGGCTGTTCAGAACTTCTATTAAATGCTTTCCAATGGACAATAATCCAGAGTCTGGAGAGGGATGTTATGTTTTTCTGCTTGTAAATGACACTAACAGGGCTTGACCATACTCTGTACCAATTACAGCTTTTAGGAATTCTTCCTTTATTTTAGTAATAGGATACAAACATATTCTCTAAAAGAATTAGTACCATGTTGACAAAATATCGTCTCTAAAACTAATAGCAAAAATCTGTTATCCTTTGGCAGAGAAAAACCTCTTAATAGGGGAATTTATTTTAAATAATTCATGTAAAATTGTACATTACAAATTGATGCATGATTTTAAGTGTGGTGTTTGTTTCCTTCAGCATGGAAAGTGCAGCACTAAGCATTTTTCTGTAAATATTAACAACATGTTCTTACCTCTGGTAAGACTACAAATGCTCCTGTCATTATGGTAAGTACAATATTGATTCCAAACAGCCATCTCAAGAAAATGAAGTAAGAGGCAACTCCAGACCCAAAATGACCTTAAACCACAAAAAATAGTTACCTGAGCTACACAGTCTATAAAAGCTCGTATCATTTATCCATGAAGTATTATTTGAATAGCAGACCAAGAGAAAAACCTCTCTTATTCACACAGGGAATACAGCAAAGCAGAGAAAACATTAACATGTCACTGAGGAAAACATGATTGCAAACAAATTCTGTTGGGGACGTCTCATAATTACAAGCAGCATTTGTGCAAGAATCTGCCAAGCTGGGAGACCTCGTGCATCCATTTCCCTTTACCACTGGAGCACAGAGGTATGACCTGACTCCTGGTGGAACGTCAAGGGCTGCTTTCAAGTCCATTGAAAGACTCAAGGGCTGGTGACGTGTGGTACAACCACATTTAACCCTGGGCAGGCGTGGGGGTGTTGGCCCAAGGATGCTGGCTCAGGGACTGTGATAAACTAAAACCTCATCTTGCTGTGTTTTCAGAAATACAACAGAACAAATATGACTTCTGCAAAAGTTAACCCCCTCCCAACTAAGACCATAAACGAGGACTGTGCAGTTTCCAAGGCACCCAGAGAAGAAGAAAAATCAAAGTTTTAAATAAAACATTCACTGCTGAAAATTTGCATTTAATTTCCTCCCAAATATTATTTAATTCAGTACATTAAAAAATAAACCATAAGACTCAGCATTTTAGCAAGTTTTTTACTATTCAATACCATTAAATCCTTATACTTACTCTCAATTTTCTTTATTCTCATTTCCCAAGGAATAAAGATTACCACAAAATTATATGCAAGTCGAATAAACTTCCTCCAAAGCTGAGAAAAAAAAGCAGAGAAATGAGAAATATGACACTTCTCCATGTTAAAAAAAAAAAAAAAGAACAGAGTATTTTGCTCTTGTCTTATCTTGTACCACAAGAATTGTTACAAATATTCATGACTAAGGTCTTAGAGCACATCTGTGGGTAAAGAGGAGTAAAGCAAACCATGATAGGTTTTAGACAAAGCATGTGGGGGACAGGATGCCTTGACTCTGTTTGTCAGCCAAATGCCAACGAAGAAGGGTCAGAGTGCCCTTTATTCACCTCTGAGGAGCCACCAATCTACATCTTTTGCTCATAAAGACGATAAGGAACCAACAAAAGACAGTGGGTGCCATTCCCTCTTGCCTTCTTGCTGGGACACCTACCCTCTGGGTAATCTATGAGGAAATCCTGCTGCACTACACATATTAAATTCAATTTTTTAGGACAAACAAACAAACAGACCACTAACTTCAAATTTAAGAGGAGCATAGTGCCTTAGAGGAAATTTTCTTAGAGGAAGAATATTCAATAGCAGCACGTTTAAGTGCTATATTTTCAGCTCTTTGTATTACAGCCAACACCTGCAGAAAACCTATGGTTATATTTTGTAGAGTCTTTATTCAACCTTCATTTTTTGCATGGTCAGAGGACCTTCCTGCACACAGTGGGGTTTGCATACACCCATGGCAGAAGAAACAAAATCCACCTGTGCAAAATTCAATACGGTTTTTGAGTTGTTGAATTAGAGCTATAACTTCACAGTATCAACAGAAAAAATAGTCTTTGTATTTCAGGCATTATAAAGTATTTTTAGTACAGCTAGGTATTAAAAATCCCACCTATATTTTAGGCAGCAGCAGTGTCAATGTTATATCATGTAATCTAATCTCCTAAAACCTAAGAGGAGTAAATAACATTTTAATTAATGAAAATTTAATCAATCTCTTTGGCCAAAGTTAATTAATTTTTATGGTGATATGGATATTTAGTTGCATGAATGAGAAGTATTTTAACAAAAAAAAAGAAAGTGCAGATGCTGGAAATTTGCATGGGAATTATTGGAATTGCTGCTTTTAGTTGAAAACAGCATTCTCTGGGCTGAGAAAGGACTCCATCAGCTTGTGCCAGCTGTCATGCAGATTTATAAAGAATACAAATGTGTCCATGTGGAAGTAGTATCTGTTAAAATTATAATTTGATAGCTATCACCACATTTCCTCCCTACTACATACCTGAACAGATAATTTGTACTCTCTGAATCCAGAGTATGGGCATCTAGCATTAAATGAAATGCAAAAAAAACTACAAAGGAAGTGTAAAATAACTGAACTGAAAAAAAAAGTTGCTTTCACCATCGAGACAGTAAAAAGTATTTTAATTTCGATTTTCATGTATAATATCATGATTGGATTGTCCAATTGTAAGCAGTATATATTCTGACAATTAAAAAACCTAATTTAAATATATATACACTTAACAGCTGCATTTTGTACTTAGCACATGTTCAACCACTGAGTTCTTAATTTTGATGATGTAGTGCTTGTTTTGCTGTGCTGCAATTTTTGTCTCCTTGGTCACCATGTTTTTTTCTAAGAAAATATGTGCAAACAAAGCTCTTCCAAACAAAAAAAAAAAAAAAAAAAAAAAAAAAACCACAGCTCATTCTGTTGCATTTGCTGAATTTAGCCCTGATGAAAAGGCCATATTTCCTAATTTGTGCTAGGAAAAAAATACAGATCCTCTACACATAATGAGCGGTACTAATTAACTGCTGAATTATATCCCTGTGCTGAATGTCTTCAAGCAAATATAATAGAGGCAATTAGATTAGACACAAACTTGTATTACATGAAAACTTCTGGTTTTGTAAAGGAAGAGTAACATGAAAAAAGTACCAAGCCCAATCTGTGATTTACTGACATGTATCACAGACCTGTAGCACTTCTCTTTCTAGATAACATCCTAGTTCCCCTCCCATAAAAGGCAAAATTAGTGTTTATTTTAACAGCATTTGTTACTTCCACTGCTTTTGCCACACATGCAAAGACAGAACAAAGAAAGCTTTCTCTTTCTACCTTGGAGGGTAGTACTTTTAACCTGCTGTGGCCCAACACTGCAGTACAACAGATACATGTGCAGCCTTTCACTTGTTCACATGAACAAAATGTGGGGTATACTGCTTATTGGTACAACTCTGCCTTTTTGAATTAAGATAAGTTAGTTATTAAAAGTCTATTTATTATGATGACAAAAATATTCTTGACTACTTAAATGACTAAAGAACTCTTCTGTGTTAGTTGCTTATTAGATACAATTTCTTGCATGTTATAAATTTCCAAAAACTCAGGCCAGAGTCTATTTTCAGTGGTGTAAATAGATTTGCTAAGTTGTGATTCAAATTTTTGAGTATTATGCAAGCAAAAACCTTCTTTAACAATGTATTTACCATAAGCTATTGTAGGATTGTCTTCCAAACCACAAGCTAGACACATTTTTCATAATAAACTATTGAACTGTGGCCCCAGAGGCTGCTGAAATAGCTCTTCAGAGAATACTGCACTGCGTTATTGATATCCCACTACCCCTCCAGCAGGCATCAATATCTGTAGACTCTCTGAAAAGAAAGTTTATACTGCGTTGGTAGAAGGACATTCATTTCTTGACACACGAAATTAGTCGGCACAGCAAGCACATGCTTCTGTAAATGAGAACTGCAAATGGCTGTTGTATAGGCAAGAGCTGAGATTTAAGAAAAACGACCCATACCTCTGCACCAGCAGCTTGGTAACCTCTGGTTCTAGTGAGCCTCCCTTCGTACTTCAGCACGATCTCCTTCGCCTGCCTGCACAAGAAGGTGGAGGTTCATTCTACATTGATTCCATTACTCAGGGCCCTTATTCTGCACAAGCAGCAACCAGTAAAGTTGTCAAATGCTCTGGAATACAGCCATGGACTGTCTCATCATCAACCTTCAATCAATCATCCAGGCAAAACTTTTTCCTTTGATTACTGAGGTTTTGACTGATATTTTAAATCCACTCACAATTTTGCCTGAGAGAACTCAGCATTCAAAAGACTGCAGGGGAAGTTTTCTCTTCACCTATTTCTCCGTCCTCTTTTTTCAAAGTATTTCTTTTAAAATGGCACAACCCAAATGAGTAAAATAACAAGATCCCCATTACAGTCTGGTAATCTCATGTGGATACTAACACCTCTTCCGCAGATATGGTATCTCTCTTGTGAGATGCAAAGAGGTACATGTTCATCTGGTCATACAGAGTCTTTGAGCTCAGCAGAAGGTGGATGGGGATCACTGAGATCTCATCAACATGATCAGGAAGGCAACAAGTCACAGACTGCCTAAGAGAGAAAAATATCTCTTTGCTTCCCAGATTACACAAGGGCTTTACTACTGGTAGGGATTCCTCGTGACTACATGGCCATCTGAGCACCATACAGTGTTTTAAGAGAAAGTTACCAGATAAAAAGGGAAAAAAAAAAAAAGCAAGCCTCAAACAGATCATGTTTGGATGACCTGACATGGTTTGGACAGGGCACCCAAAGAGTTAGCTACACACCCTTTCACTATAAATTTGGAATTATTATTATAATAATTACAAACTTAAACTGTGGAACATGTCTACACTGACCATATCTTTAAGACCTACAAGTGTCCTGTATTTCCTGCCAAGATGTTACCTGAAGATATGACCACCTTCTGTTCTCATACCATGCAATTACCTTAAAAACAGTGGGCTGGTTTTTCTTTTTGGGACACAGTGAAACAATTTAGCTTAAAAATGTATTACAGAACATTATCAAAAGCCTTTCTTTAGATCACCGAATAGCTGACACACTGTTTTAGTGGTAATAGACAAAGCATGATTTCTTGCTCTCTCTTTTATGCTGTTACTCTCTAAAGAGAGCCACAGACATGTGCAGGAGACAACTTCACCTACAGACTGTCCACCCTGAGGCTGCTGCCTTCAGCTGGCTCTCAGATCTCAGAGCATCCTCATGGCATGCTTTCCTAGCAGCTCTTAATCATTTGTTGTGCACAAACCCTTCCAGCTTACACTGGAAAAGTCCTGAGGCTGCAAGCACTGTCACAGTCAGTGAGCCTGAAAAGCTTTGTGCAGACACCGTTACCTGAGCGCCCTCAGCTTCTGCCTCATCGGCCACGGCCGGCAGCGGATGTTGGACATAATCTCCTTCTGGTACTGGATGTTCTGGAAGATCTGCTCTGGGTCATGGCTCTCAGCCTTTTCTTCACCGATATCGTCATCTGAGTTGCTGGCAGCCCAGCACACACCCCACGAGAGGAAAAACAAAACAAATTATTCCCATTCAGATTCCCAGCCAACTGTTGATTTGCACAGGACCCATCCTATTAGAGCAACATAAGAGCAGTGAGCTGGGGAACTCGCATGACAGTATTGTTTTAAAGTTGATTAATAATTTGGATGTATTCCCCATCTTCAGGATGTGCCTCTTTCCCTCCCCACCAGTTTCTCCTCAATTATAAATTATCTCCACTCCCCACCACAAATCCCAGTCTTTCCCTTCTGAGTATTTCCAGCCATACAGCTTGTACATCATGCTAGCAAGACTCTCTGTATATTTTTCTGGAACTAAGTGCTGTAGAAACATTTCCAGCAAGAGCACGTAACATTCATTTATTCATCACACCTTTTATTTTGATTGTAATAATGATAAAATATTTTCTTGTTAGAATGGGGGAACAGATGATTCAATTGCAGTCACCCTTTGATCCTGTTCCCGGCTGAGGGTGGTGGCAGTGTGGGACCCCACACACCAAGAATTATTCCTCCCTGTAAAAAGGTTCATGTGCTTTGCTACAGATTTCTGTGGATGATTAAATCGTCTTTTCTGAGGCTGTCACCACATTTGCTCAGCTATAGCTCTTGCAATTCCTGCTAGCCCGTGAAACAGCAGCAATAGTCATTCTTGCAGAGGCTTAGGTCTAAAACCCTAACTGTTTCTCCCTGACTGACATGAAGGGATCTGAAGGACTGCAGAAAGTTTCCCATTTGTATTGCTATGTACTTGTTGGGAAAGTTCCCTGCAATTTTGCTGAAAAAACAACACCTTTTAATCACTTAAAAATAAATCATAGCCTAAACTATGCCATGTAAGAAAATTGACATACTTCATCAGACCACCAATTCTTTGGTCTGCAGTCTTGTCCCTTCAGTCACAGGGGCATTCAAGGGAAATTTATAATTACACAGAAAAAGAATAAAGAGATTTCTTACTCTGCTATGCCCTGAACTCATTGGAGTTACACTGCTTTATGTACAGTCTCGACGTTTGGGCATGAAGAGTGAACTTTTGAGAAAATAAAAAGAACCAAAGAGGTTTGAAACACATCTAAAAACAGAGAGAAGAGGGATTTTTCTCATGCTCATTTCCAAGTTACCACGCTCCGTCTGAAGGAAAGTGAAAAGACAAGATCCCACTCCTGTGCTAGGTAGAGCAGACTCGCTTCAGGAGAGAGGGGAGTCTCTTACCTGTGGGGTGGCTCCTGGTAGGTGTAGATGCCGGCGTGACGCTTCGCCGTGCGGTGCTTTTTGCCGGACTTGGCAGATTTTGCGGCAGGGGAGCCTGTCACTGCTGCCATGGTGGCAGCTGCCGCCCGCACCAGGTGGAACTCTGCCGCGCTGGAAGGCAGCTTTGAGCTGAGGTCAGATGTCTCATAAGCAGCCAAATGTTATTAAGCAGAGAGCAGCGAGTGCTGCGAGCCCTGCGGAGCAGAGGATCATTGCCTGGTGCTCCAGCCTGGAGAGGACCTGCTGTCTGGCAGTGCCTTAAAGCCACAGCATGCAGCAGCCCTGCCTCGGTGCCTCAAAGCCAGGTGCCCAGATCAACATGGGGAGCTGAGTTCAAAGGTGGTCCAGCTGCAGCCCTTAATTCACAGCCCTTAATTCCTTGTTGTGGGTGAGGCATTCCCTCAAAGCACCATCCCACTGGCCTGCTCTGGGTGATGTTCCCAGTGATTGCCCTGGATGTACTGTTGACATCTCTGCTTCATGTGCTTGAGAAAAGGTTCTTGCTTAGCAAAATGGTTTACCTTTTGGCCTTTACTAACAGAGTAAAGTGCAATATCATTCTCCTAACAGACTTCCAGATCCTCTCCCGGAGGACAGCCCTGACAGAACAGGACACTGTTGCTTTCCTGGGTCCAAGGCCGGCCATTGCTTTCATTCCTTTTATCTTAATTTACTGGCTTGTCTCTTGGAGATATCAAAATACCTTTTATTTAGACAAGTACTGATTACCAAGCAATTTGCTTTTTCTTGGTAGATGCAGTATCTTAATCATGCTCAATTCCATTAATTGTTGTACCACCTTTAACATTTACAATAAGCACTGACTAGATTATTGATATGTTATAATAATGGTTATTCCTAGACCTAAACCCCTGGAAAATATCACCTCCTAATGTTCTTTTCCCCCTGTTTCTTCAGCTCTACTACTTAACTAATTTTATTACAAAACATACCAGAAGTATATTTAACACAGAGAATCACTTTAACAAACAACAAATGGACTGGTGCTGCCAGCTTGAGGACCCTGTATTAAATGGTTATTTTATCTTTCTCTCTTTCTGTATGTCCTGGGGCAAATCTTTGCCCTTTTATGCCTCATTTCCCCTCCTTAAATAAGGATAACACTTCTGCATTTCACAGGAATGATGTACTCACTGGAATCACATAGGCATGAACTTCCTAATTCACTCCAAGTATTTCAATTGCATAATAAAACTGAAAGCAAAACACCAGTTTTCAGTTTTGAACGTCTCAACCAAATGCAGTACCAGTGGCTTTGACTCAGTTTCCATCTATTCAAAAAGTAATCCACCCACTTATTTAATCCAAGATTAACTATTGGGCAACTGACATACTGTACACGCCAGCAGCCACATTTTCGTGGTGGAGAGTCCCCTAACACCCTTCCTATAGTCAGCACCAACACCACCTTTCCATCAGCATCTCTGTGATACTGGCCAGGATAGAATACACTGCTCCAAGCTCTGCTGGGACCAGGGCAGCTGAATTTCCCATGCTTTTCTCCATCATAGAAGTTGTGGGTGTTCTGGGTCACATTACTGAAACAGAGCACACAAAAATACTTTACATTAGTAGTTTCTGTGGCCATAATTTGATGCTCAAAAAGTGGGAGAGAAAGGAAGGGTTTACAGAGAGTCTTCACTTGTTCCTAACTTGGTATTTTCTCTCCTTAATAGCTCTGTGCACAGTGCACCAAGGATTTTGATTGCATAAATCAGTGGTCTGTTGTAGTTAACTTTTACTTGCAGCCTCTGACAAGAAAGAACATGAAGTTCCTGTAGAGAATTGCACAGGCTGCTTTTTCCTTCTGTCCTGAATTAATCTAAAATATTGTCACTTGCTGAGAAATTTTACTTTTCCATTGTCATGGTTCTGTCCACTGTCCTATACTTACTGAGTTAAATAATTGAAGGGCTGAGTAGCCACAAGCCTTATTACTTATTACTTGTATGGTTTTACAGTACTGAAAGAGTAAGTCCATTTGGTGTAATTTACTCCACACTTTTAGATGAAAATTCAGCTCTAGAAAAAGACAATTCTGCATTTCCAAAATGTAGCTTGCAGTAAAGCCCAGAGTTCACTTGGTGTATCTTGTTTGAAACTTCCCCATAAATTGGGGAGTTTCATTAACACATAGCAGAAGAGCCCCAGAATTGTAAAGAAATGCCCCTATTCAGAGTTCAGTAAAATCAGTCAGCTGTATTCTGCACCACAGAATGTCATATGATATGATGCATGACATTTAAGCCTGCTAAAACCCACTTACTACATGGATTTTTTTTCTGTGAATGGAACTCTCTAGTCCCAGCTCCACTCTGAGCATCTCTTGTACCCACCTCTTTTAGCCACAATAGAGATTAAAGGCTGAGGACTCCAGTTTTCAGCTTGCCAAGGATGGACCACAAAAAATTGTACTTTTTCTGTGCTGTGTTTTATTATTTTTCATCTGAAGTCTGTAAAATAGAGGCTGTTACAGCTTTGACACCTCAATCTTTCTGTACCACTCTAAATCCACAAACCTTTGAATGGTTTTCCTATTTGGCTTCCAGTTCACAGGACAAAAGATACATCCTACTCTCCTCTCTGTGTCAGACCATTCATCAAGTGAAAGCAAACAGCCAAAAGGAATGGGTATCAGCCCAGAAACACATCTCCATTAAAAGTCTTATCACCTCTTTCCAGCTGGAAAAACAAAAGAACTACTCTGAATGCCAGGAATGTCCTTTAAAGCTTTGATGCTCAGAGTATGGCAAACAAGCCCACAAACCACCTTTTTCAACCTGCCACAAGATATGTTTTCAATTCTATAACTTAAAAGCAATAATATGTTAGTTCAGATGTATTTCCTTGGCTGTAGTTATTTTTCTTTGCATCTTAGCCAGTGGCACAACACTGGGGGCCAGATTCTGCTGCCTTGGCTCATGAGAATAAGTGCCTCTCTAGTCAGACCAGTCTACTGCAGTCCATTAGCTGCCTGCTTATTGCAGTTACGTGCAGAAACATTAATGTCATGTTGCAGATAGATACCTCACTAAGGAAAATTCCCCAGAAAGCAGGTTTTGACACAATAACATTCTGAATTCCACAGATAACATAAGCTAGATCTCCAAAACCTGGCTATTTCTCCTTCTGTATTACCATTCCTGCTTCATACTTTTCCCTGAGATTTTGGATGCCCTACTTTTTATTTGAAGGAATCACAGTAGAGGGATTACGACTTAACATCATCAGTATTTCCTAGGGATTGCTACATTTCACAAATAAAGCAGTATCCATTAATATCATGGTGGTACATCACTACCCAAACCATTAAAATACTAACATTACTGATTTACATAGATTTAATTGGCTAGTATATATTAATGTGTCAACAAGGCACATAAATTTTGTTTCCCTTTGTTAGAAGAAAGCTTAAAATCTGAAAAAACAAAGCGACAATTTAAGTCTGACATTTATACAACCCTAATACTGCCAGTGTTCAAGGCACATACATCATACAAAGTTACTACCAAACACTAAAAGCACAATGAGCAGCAGACTTATGGAGCCCATCTGACAGAAGGGTGCAGAGTGCTTTGTAAGAGAAAACAGAAAGCAGCCTTCAAGAGCTTAGCCCTGAAGTTGGCGACGTCCTCCGTTGCACATGATCCCTGCAACTGCCTCTTTAGAGGACTCAAGTGTTAACTCAGACCACAAAGAGGGTTTTGGTTTTGCTTTTCAACTCAGCAAGCAGTTTAGCAGCCAGAACACCCAGCTGCCCATTTCAGTATGCTCTATTGAATCCAGAAACCTACTGGGGTTTGTTTTATTCTGAGTGAATACTACGGGAGTTATAGATTTGATTTCAATTGCCATTAACTGGATGTAAAACAGGACATTAACCTTTTACTGCAAAACTTGCAGCTCTCTGTGCGTAATAGGAAGCCTCACATTTGATCCATAGGATCATTTTGCATTCTCAAACATTTATCCAGGAAAAAGCTGGGCTAGTGAACTCTGCTTACTGAAAATTCAGGGAAACAGGAGGCTATATTCTTTCCTATATATTCCATTCATATAGAGTTACAGTTTGAATTTTACCCATCATTACCCATCAGTGCAGTCAAACTCTGGGACCTTTTCAAAATACCCCTGCTCAGGAGAGTCACAACATTGCTGATCCCAATTTCAAGAAAGAAAACATCAAGAAAAGGACAAGTTTTCCAGTCATCTCTGTAATAAAGAGAATATTATCTCTCCAGATTCTTGAGTACCTAAAACAAGTGGAAGAAAAACTATTTGGAAACTCTGAAAAAGATGATTTGTGTGTCTTAAAGCGAACTAATTACCAGCAGTGCTTAAAGTATTTGATTCCATAGAAACCAGTGGTAGGTAATGATGCTGTACAGCATCCAACTTTGTGTGAAAACACCAAAACTCCTCTTGGCTTGAAGACATTTACTTTTAGAGCTGAAAGAACTAAGATCAAAAGGCAACCCAGCCGGACTTCAAAGACAAACACTCCCTGCTCAGATTGCAATCTCAGCTCACCTGTTTAGTCCCCAGAGATGACACAGACATGCAGCTGGACATAAGAGCAGTTATGGGATTTCCAGAGCAACAATGGCAAAGCCATTGTCTTCACTTACTGAGAGTAAAATTGATCTACTGAGCTCAGTTAAGTCATTGTCACCCCGTAAGATTGTTTGGACAGTTTAATTTCATGCAGTAGGTTTTGCTCTTCAATTTCAGCGTGTTCATAACTCTTGCTGACATTTATCATGCTTGGATCAAGGGGAATACTCCCACCATGGTTCAATTTTCTTTGTGAATTCACATCCCACATAAAAATTACTCCATTTAAAAGGCTCCTCCTGTGCAGTTAACTGATCTTACAGCATCATAAGATGACTATTTTTATTCTTGGATGACTACTATGACTATTAAAATATACATTTCTCTGAGACTACAATCCACAAGAGAATATACTGAAATCAGAAAATTGTCAAGAGTGTTTTAAAGGCCAATTCTAGGACAGCAACTAAGGACAAAAAGAAGGAAAACAAAGAGGGGCTAAAGACAAACAGAAACAACCACATGCTGAGCCAAGCACCCACGCTGGGGCAGAGAAGGCCCCAACAGCTTTTAAAGCCAGTTCAGCTGATGTCCATGGCTTGCAGCACTGCCCTGGCTTGCATGGCACACTGTCCCTGGAACTTGCAGCTCTCTACTTTCAGGGGGCAAAAAATTAATTAGACACCATCAGAAAACTTATTTTTCCAGGAGCATACATAGGCTATAGTGACTTCTGCTATCAAGAAGTCTGTGTTTTGTGCAGCTTTGCCTATCCAGCAACACAATGTGAATCTCACAGACATATGCATTTCACCAGAGACCTTTTTGAAAGCACTGTAACCCAATTATTTTCTAGACTTACGTGAGTTGTTACAAGCCAGACCTAAGAGTCTGTGAAAATGAAGATAATTTTAGAAATTAAATAAATAAATAAAAATAAATGTCTCATTTTAGAAGAAGAGTGGAAGAGTTCCAGAAAATGACAATGGCAAGAAGTAACTCAATAGTCAGGGCTTTCTAGTGATGATACTTGGGACAATCTGAAAGTCAAAAGACTGGCAGAGGTGGGTTGTGTATGGAGCAGACATCCATAAAAATCTTTTTCCAGTTTCTTTGCTTTTTGTAACATCCACTCAATTTGCCAGCCTTAAATTACACTCTAATTTTAGAGGGCCTTTGGCATTGAAATAGTAAGATTAGTTCACCTACATTTATTGCATAATGTCTTCACAAAGGAGATGTTCATAAAAAATGGGAAAGGAAATCCAGATCAGCTTAATTCATTGCATGAAGAATGTTAGTAATTCTATTACTGCATCACCCAGGAGGTTGTTTAGGTACACAACATTAGCAAACAACAATTATCATTTGTTCAAGGAAAAAACCACAAATATAGCTACTCAAATTACTGCAAAGAGATGGCCTGTACCTCTTGCTCTCCAGGATATTGCATCAACACAGTACTTGTAAAAGCTGGGTGTACCAGGCTGTGGTTACATGATCACCTGAATTCAGCACCTCTGCATAATCCTTCTGACAATTCTCTGCCTCTCCCCACTTCCCAGCTTAGTTTTCAGCAGAGCATTTCTTTGATTCAGCTACCACTCAGCAGCACGACACTTACTGGGAGCACTAGACAGCTGGTGGGAACGAACCAGGGGGATGCAGGGAGTCGGGTGGGCCCATCCTTCTCAATAGTAGATTTATATCAAAGGTACCATGTAACAATTGTGTCAGAGTCTAAGGGACACAGGATTCCTCTGCAGCACTTCATTCACACACTGTACCTTGTACAGAATGTTTCCTTCAAGCTCTGGCTGGTCCCTTCCTCCCTTCCTTGGAAACATCCCTGCTTCCTCTGTTAAACTCGTCTCCTCGTTTCCTTACTCAGTCACCAAATTCCTTTAGTGTTTCCAAGATGAGGCTTTTAAGAGTTCACCAAAATCCACTGTTCTGAGAGAAAGCTGCTGGGAATTTGGAGCAAACTTTCTCTTTGTTTAGACCAAGGAGGCAAAGCAAATCAAACCTTGCTTTCAGCTGCCAGTGTGGGCTCATGGGCTGTTTTCTTGTGGTCCATTTCTGTTCCTCAGCACAGGAAACATAAATAAGAATTCAACAAAAGCCACTCAAGCATATCTAGAGTTTGCAATATTAAAACCAGATTCAGAAATTCTACCTTGGTAAAGTCTGCAAACCCCGAGTAGAGAGTGCATAATGAAGATACACAATATCCTTAGGCTGGAAAACAAATCCAGCTGATTATCTCTAGATACAGTGTAGACCAGGCTCACGATGGGCAGAACAAGCAGCACAATGGTTTATCGGCAAGAATTTTCTAAAAGAAAAAAAAAAAGGCATTAAGAAACACATTAATTAAAAAACAGACCTTGTACCATCAAGAAACTGCCCAGGGGAAACTTTGAAAGTGTAACAAAATAAAAAAGGAAAGCTTTGGAGGACTTCAAAACATTACCCCCTACAGGAAACTATTCAAAACTATACTTAATATTCTTCACACAAAGACACTGTGCTAGAGGCTAAATGCTGCAGTAACTCAATACAATAAAGTCTAACATTTCTTCTTGCTCTACCCAAAAGACCTGTGGATATAGCTAAGAATTATGATGTAAAGATTCATGTTTATTAAAAGTAGTAAAATGTTTTTAATTTTATACAGTCTCAGAAGCTCTGTGATGCCTGAGCTTACCATATATTGTATGACCTTGAAAGTGCCTGAGTCATGGGCAGTTCAAGCTGCAATCTAAACAACCATCTTAAATCTTACACATTGTCACGTACTCATTATCTGGACTTCATACTTTCCTACCGTGGAAGGATTTTCACATAAATTATATGGGAAATGAAACAAAATGTAATTACAGTGTGTCCAACAGCTCCAAGGCAGATAGATAGCACAAGGCATGCAACACAGTTCAAGAGTCAGCTTTCAATAAATATCACCTATTAGGAAGAATCTAAATGAAACATATATCATTAAGCCACCCGCCTCTAAATTATGTCATTATCTCATCACTGGAATAAGCTGTTATAAGGTTATAGCCATTTCAAATGATCAGTTTTCAAGCGGATTTCTCAAAGGGACTTTTTGTCTTTGCTTTTACACATCACCATTTGGACTTTAACAAATACTAGTAAATTCTATCATAGTGTATTAAATTGAATTATCCCAATGAAAACATCTCCAGTAAGGTTGACCCAGACACTTAATAATCCATTAGCACCCTCACTTTTCAATGTAACAACTTTTCTCATAATAGCTTTTCAGTCTCAAAAGGAAAAGACACAGCTGCAGAGCTTCTGACTGTTCTGAATTCACAGAATTCAGCTGAACAGTAGGAGCACTGCAATGATAAATAAAATCACATTTTTGCCCCTCACTTCAGTGGATGGTAAGTCTTTGCAATAAGTGCTCACAGCCTAGTTCATGGAAGACCACACGGAACACTCACATCTTCACATTTTTTTGGAGAGAAGATCTAGGAATGTTTTGTTTCTTGCATTTAGGGGCTTTTCTGTGTGCTACCCTCAGTGCAAAAGGATTATAGAAACAATACAAAATGTACTTTACACACATTAAGTAAACACTAACAAAATCCTAATACAAATATTTCAAAAAGTCCTTTCTTCCCAGGATCTCCCAGTTAAAATACGTAAGCCTTTCTATGCTGCTCAATTAAATAATACCGAGGTTATGGAGATCAAGCGTTGGAGGCCAAAAGTTAGAAGAAAAGCCTCAAATTAATGTAAGCAGTGAGGAGACTTTCTCACATACTGTGGTAATGAACTTCCTGTGAGCACACATTAAACACATGCTGGTTTTGGTAAGTTCATCTACTGTGTTCATTGGTCTCATGGTATGTTTTATATCCTTTGTAGGCGGAATGTTTTGAGAAAGCCCTGTAACAGCCAGCATGGGCTTCACTAAATTAACACATCTAAGATTTGAGATATGCTATGAAGATGCATATGGGCAGGCTCTAAGGCTCAGCTCGTGCAAAGCAGTTTAAATCTTGTTGTGAGTCACAACTTATTAATATTTAGTTTTTCATTAATATTACACAACAAACTTAGCCTGATCTCCTTTGTTTTGCTCCTTTTTCTTGTATTTTCCTGCTTATGGCATAATCATTAAATTCTCTTCTGATCGCAGTATTTAATTTTCACTCATTTAAAAAAAAGAATGTTCTCAAGGTTTTAAGATGTGCAGTTCTTTTCACAATTTAAAAATGCTTCTAAGCTGAAACCTAAATGCAGAAATTACATCAATGGAACTGAATCCATTTTTTTGTATGTTTTGATTCTGAATGCAATCTCTTTGCATCTTGTAAATCGTCTTAGCTGTAACTAATACTGATTTCTTTAATTGGGTAACCGGTTTAAATGCTTAAAGAATTAAACTGAACCAACTCCAAGTTAGGAAGTTATTTAAGTCACCCTGTGCAGACCTTTAGATTTGTATTCTAATTCAAAGCACACTAAAATGAACAAGAAAACAAAATAACTGAAAGACGTGGTGTATAATTTAATTAGTTCTTTCAAGACATCCACTCATTTCAAAAGGGATAACATGTCTATCAATACGTAAGAAAATATGATGAAAATAATGACATCTGAAAGAAAAAAAAGAAAGAATATCAGTGAAAGTTCTTATAAAAAGTCTTACTTTTTATCAGCAAAATGATTTTTCTTTGAGGCTCTGTTTCTATTATCACACAATGAATCTTCTGCCATCACAAACACAGATGTTCCCTTAAGTCTGCACAAATGCCAAAAGCTCTTTGTCTTAATATCCACTCTGGAAGGGCTTCTTTGTTAATGAGGATGTATTAGCAATTTATTAAGTAATGTTCCTGCATCTGCTGCTGGTCCTTAGCCTTTCTCCTCCATGTGATTCAAGTCAAATACAACAAGAGATGAGCCTGGAGAAAAGCAAAGCATATACTGAGCATCCTGTAGGCAGCAGTCCAGTGGGGAAACAGGGTGAGGATTGCATACTGCTTTTATTTGTAACATAAATGTGTATGTGTGATGAACTTTATGCATCTGGGGGTGAGGAATAGGCTGAGGGCCCCTTCACCTTCATGTGTCAGCAGCTGAGAGTGCAGCTATAATGCTGAAAGTAAACTGGACCTGCTGGCCTGAATTAAATGCATTAGTAATTAATTTCACTATTAGACGCAGTTTCCAGACTGGCTGGGGTGAAAGTGATTCTCACCTCTTATTACCCATATAAGCATAAATCACCATAAAGAAGTGTTTCTCAGAGAACTTATGGAACTTAATATCTCCCTGTTTAGTGGAGGATCCTGGCAGTCAGGCAGCTTTTTGGCCATTTTTTCCTGCAGAGAGATCTGAATGCTCCACCGTGTGGCCAAGCTGCTCCCTTGTACATTGCTCACCGTCAGAGCTAACAGGTTCCTTGGGTAAATGTGTTTTACCTTAATAAAACTTAGATTAACTCTTGGAAAAGCAAACAAAACATTGAAAGAAGATGTCTGCAGATAAAAAAACAAAACAAAACAAAAACAAACAAAAAAACCCCAAAACCAAACCAAAACAAAAAGCAAAACAAAACAAAACAAAAACAAAAAACAAACAAACAAAACCAAAAACAAAACCAAAAAAAACACTCCAGATACAGTCACATGTATTTGGGTAATTGCAGAGCACAGGATGGGGCTGGGAAGCTGAGAGGCCCAGGAACACTAAAGTCATAGGAAACTAATGTGGAAGTCAAGAAAAAATTAAATCCTCATTTAAAGTCCAGATCAGCATTTAAAATTCGGAGACCATTCTTTTGATTTGTTAAGAAGTGAGAAATTAATAGGGGAAAAAAAAAAGAAAAACTAAGTGATACACAAGATGCTTTTGTTATCCTTCTTTCCTCTTCTCTGAGATATACGAGGTGCATCACTTTTTCATTTAGGGTTGGGCTTTTTTAATTTGCGTTTAATATCAGAAGAATGGAATGGTTTTTACTTTAAACTTTTTGCTTCAATCTTCAGTGAACTTTTTAAGCACTACTTCTTCAGTATAACAAAAATATTCAGTGCCACATTAAACACCTAACATCTGTAGACGAATAAAGAATTTGTATTACTGTTATTAACGTTTATCAACAGGAAACCTAAATGGAGGGATATTTAGGCTCCCGTTCTTAGCCTACTAAAAGTTTTCTGTAGTTTTTCCAGTGCTTGTGAAGGGTTTTGAAAATGCTCTAGTGCAACCAAGGATTCCAACCATAAAGACCTTGGAAATGTTGTTTATAGGATGGGGACTCCAATTCATTGGCCAACACAGAGAAGCTGAAAATGTGTGAATGCAATACAGCTTTCTTCAAAGTCTGGTCCCACACCCTCTGAGCTAAAATAAATAAATACACTTAGAGAAATAACATCTTCTGCAGAAAGGTGAAGTTCTCACAAGTAATATAATGTTTTTGATGCAAAAGAGAGATCTGATTCCAATGAGTAATGTGTTTCCTAGAAATATGACTCCATTATCTATTTGTTGTAGAACTGATTTCTTTCTTCTCGTAATGATGAATAATAAACACAATATATTGCAAATGCCAGAACATAAGACAAGCTTGGAGTGCAGACCAAGTGATCTGTCATGTTCATAGGAATTTTTGAAGAAGGTAAATGAAACTTACAGTTGAAACAGAAGCAGAATTTCAAATACCAGAGTATTCTTCTGAAAACCACTTTCTCAGATTTACTGAGAAAGTAATCTCTGTTTACTTATTATGGAAAGTCTCCTTTAAACAAAATTAAGGGGGAAATGCATTCAATACTGAGTGTTTTGCTCCTCCTGCATACCTAAAGTAGAAAAATTCTGTAAAACATAATTTTTTAAATATCAGGTCCAGACATGTAAGCTGTTCTGTTTAAGCATAAGAAACTAATATGATTTTCTTGTAACCTGATTTGGAATTTGTAACATGACCTAAGATGAAGAAATCAGATCAATGAGATTAGGAACCTGCACTTTTCTGAGAAAAAAAAGCCAGGAGAATAAATCCACAGACATACACAGAGACAAAACAACTGGAATCTGATATGAGCGCAGCTAAACAAGATTCTATCATTTGAGATGACATGCACTAATTTCCTGGAGCATTTAACATTAATGTGAATTGCTGTAGATAATTAGAAACCAAAAATACCTGAAAGGGAAAGGTTGAAGTCACTGGATCACAAATCTCCATTTTAGAAGGTGAAAATTCTCATGCACCCATTCCTCATGGTCATGTTCTCACTGTGGCCAGTGCAGCACCTTGCAGGAAATTCCATAACGAAAAGAAAAAGCAAGGCATAAAAGCAATGCCTGAAGTGTTTGTCTCCTGACTAAGGGAAGTGTTTGCAAGATACAACTTTACAAAAGTGGGAAATGTAGCAATGTAGCTACCAGACGGCAACAGAAAGAATTGGAGGGGAACAGGTTGCATCAGACCTGATGCTGGGAATCAGTTAACTCAGGGTGCTCCGACTCATCCCATATCCCAACCAGTCTGAAAGGAATTCCTCTGGGACACTGGTGTGAAAAACAGCATGTTGCCTAAATGTCCAGATCTCAGAATACATAAAAGATCATTTAGCAATGAGTTTCACTTGTAGCTTATGAGCCATCGATGTTTCGGCAAGTAACATGAGCGACAAATAAAGACAAATTATCAAGTTAGGGCAAATTCTTGAGAGATTCCTAGGAACAGAAGTTACAGGGGAGATGTTGAAATATCTGAAGATTTTCTTTTAGTAACAAACATCTTTGAAAACCTGGATTGCCACATCAATAATTATTACACTCTTGGTAATTACACTTCGATTTAGCTCTCATATTTCATCCCACATCTCCGATCCGGTTGACAACTGCCTGATCAATTTATGTTGCTTTTTTACACAAACGTAGGTGGTTTGGCTGTTTAAACCTTTTCATTGCAAGATAATCTGTTGGGGGTAATAGTCTCTGAGCATTTGAGTGCTAGAACAAACTGCAATTCCCTGATCAAGCAGCAAGTTCTCTTTTTAAAAACCTTTTCTGTGTATGCGTTTCTGAAGCACAGTTGACAGAGCTACCTTCAGGGGTGGACCAAAGCCAGAGAAACCTGAGGAGGAAACAGAGGCTATGGCTTCTCCAGCTACTCAGTTCTTCACAAAGCTTTGAACATGAGCTCATGGAAGCCTTTTGCCATGACCTCCCAGAATGGTGCACAGATAATCCTGGCTTCCAGTTCAGGAATTTGCTCATGATAAACCAGGAGTATATTTAGAAAAAAAGGCACAAATCATCAGCAAGAAAACATTTCCACTCTGATCACCATACCAAGGAAACAAGGTCACTAGGAGACAAAACTGAGGACTGGAATCCTCCCGTTGTCAAGTGGATGGTTAAACATGGCCAGCTCACCTGGAGATGGCAGTGGTGGGCCAGCTTGCTAGGGATCTGCAGGAACTCTCCCTAAGGAACTAAAAGAAAATTACATTCAGTGTCATGTACATATTTCTACCTGGCTGGGTTAACAACCTCTGATACCTTTCTGTCCCAAACTGCCAGCAAATTCCTAGAAGCAGAAAGGGAACTTTCATCTGGAATATGTAACCACACCTGCTGTGGCAAAAGGTGGTAGGCAAAAGGTCCCTGACTGCTGGTAGTGGGACACAGAGATAAGTGTAGTCAAAAGGCATTAGGAGTCCTTAGAGAAGAATTCATGAAGTGAATGGCCTGTACCTGCATCACTTGATCCTGTCAGGACAAATCAGTTTCTGAGGGAATCTTCCTTCTGTTTCTCTGCCTTCCTGTAAGCTGAAAACACAAAACTCTCAGGAAAGTCATTGTTCTTTCCAGAGAAGTGAGCATCCTTTCTTTCACTGATTTGCAGAGAAAAAAACTGCCAAGACATAGAGAGGCAGACAGTAAAACAGTTATGAAAAAGGAAATACCATCCCCAAGTCCAATTTGGCTGGTTAAGTCGGCAGGATGGGAACAGAAAGGGTATATAATCAGAGAGAACAGGAAAACAGAAGGCATCTAAGTTGACAGGAGCAGGAAACAGAAATAGACTGTTCAGCCTTGCAGCCTATTGGCACTGCTGTCAAACACGACCAACCCTCCCAGGGTTCCTCTGGGAAGTCATATGCTCTGCCTTAACACCATAGATGTAGCTTCAGCATGAAAGGCACCTTCACTTGTTTTGCAGCCAGGGCCTCAGGTTCTTCATTCTTACTCCGATAGTAAATCTATGGTGATTGGGGGGGGGGGGGGGGGAAGCCCAGGATTTGAATGTAAATGAGAAATTTCCTGCCACTATTGACAGTCACGACTCACTGACATGCTGTAGGACTCTGCTTACTCTGCCCCAGTAAAAGTTCATTGTGACAAGGAAGTAAAGCCTGGAGATTCGACTTTACCAGCAAGGCTCTGTGCTGCTGAACAGCTGTGTGTCCCTGTCTGGCTCTGCCTCAGTGACCACGCACAGAGTCCCCGCGAGGTGGCTGCAGAGACTGCGGCATCACCGCTGAACAGGAGGAGTCTCAGGCAAAGGGCTCAAAGTATCTCAAATGCACATGGCCACTCCGAAAAGTTACTTCTATCAAAAAATGCAAATCCTTGTGACATTTGCCAAAACCTTATTTAAAAGGATTAAAAAAAAAAAAAAAGTAGAAGAAAAGAAATTAAACAACCCCCCCTTTTTTTTTCTTCCTGTTTCTGGTTTTGCATTTTTTCTTCTCATTCAGTTTTTGGTTATATACTGCACATGATTCAAATCATCAGTATCAGATTATTTTTTTCTTACTGCTTTTTCAAAATAAATCTTTTTTTTTGAAAATCTTATGAAGTCACTACATTTCTGCAATTAGGCTTTTTGTGTTAATTACACTGTTTATCAAACCCTTCATCTGTCCCATGTTTGGCTGTCATTTGCTGTTCACAGTGCCTGGTCACCTCAGCACTTATTCCTTTTAATTTTGGATTTTTTTCATTATTGCCCATTCCATGTCCTAGCTTGACACCAGCTGCAGATTTTAAGCTCTAATTCAGCCAAGGAACATAATTCTGAACACAAGCTGGAAACCTCGTCCTGACAAGGAAGATCAACACCACCCTAAAAAACAATCTAAGCCAAGGACTTCTACTCACTCTGCCTGAATGTGAACAGCTGAAATCCAAGTTCTACTTCATCCATCTGAAACAGTTTTAGCATGGGTTACACAAAAACTTTAGTCCAGGGAGATCTACGTGCTCTTTTCATAACTGTAATTTTCTGAGGTCTGAAGGACATAACATTGATTTTAGCCTGAGAACCTCTTCTGTAACAAATATTAAATGTCACAAAGCTCAGAATCCCTTTTTCAGTCTATATCTAACAACAGCCTTAGTTTGGAAAGTCCTACAGAGAAAACCTACATAAGACTTCTCCAAAATCCATCTGTATCCCACTCTTGATTGAAACCTGGCTCTCTATCAGATTTCTCTGCCATTCAGAACTGTTACACTTGTTCAAATGAATTAAGTATGCCTATGTTGGAGCAAACTTCTGGCTAAACAGTAAATCAAAGCCTACCTGTTTCTACCCAGTCAGGCTTCAGATGTGATTACTTAGAGATTTACATCCCTTTCTTATTATGCACCCATTTTTCAGACTGATTCTTCTAAAGTTTAGTCAAAGTATTGATGCCAACCTCAGCCACAACCTCAGCATGGAAGCCAGCTACTGCTGCCATTGCCAACTTTAATTTTCATCTAGGTCTAACGAAAAAATCGTATTTCATCCTGTAAATGTGCCCAACCGTCAACCAAATAAAAATATCTACCCTCACACATATATTTAGTACCTTTGGGTTTTTTACATCCTTTTTTCTGCCACAGGAGGGAACAAAATGATTCAGTGTCAGATTTCCATGGACCTTGTTCATCAGGAAAAAAAAAGTCCTACTCTAAATTTCAACTATGAATCAAACTTCATGGCCTCATCTAAACCCAGTCCCTTAATTTTCATTATTACAGTGTATGCAAAGTAATGTAAATCACACGGATATCCCATTTGGATAAGGCCATGAAGACTTTGTTCTAAGCCCTGAATGTGCACATTTAACCTTCTGAAATCAATTTATATAGTCATTACTAGCTGTTGTTTCATGCTTGTGGATTTGAGGCTTGGCTCTTATTGAAGAGCTGATTGATTAATTTCAACATTGCAAAAGCCTCATTTAGCCAGGGGGACATTTCTGGAGTTCAATTTTCTAACTGAAAAACAACCATAGGAGTACATTAAAATTATCTAATTTAGGAACTGTGAACCTTTTCATGAGAACTTGCATATGGACATATTTTTCTTTTTTTTTTTTTTAAATACTTTCAGACATTGTGTCACTAAAATTAGACATGTATATGATTTTTTCCCTATTTCTCATTATAGAATCTGAAGGAGATTCTCTTGTATGCTGCTTGTACTCACTCTAACAAGTGTGAGAATGAAGAAGGAGAGTTAAGAGACCCCAAAACAAGGTCTACAACATACCATGTATAGGCCGATGTTCTAGATCTGTGCCTAAATACATGAGAGACAAATGCTAAACCAAGCCAAACTATTTATTTTAGAAAGATCTCATTACTGAAGCAGAAATGACAGTTAATCTCTTTGCTTCTGTTTCCCTGGGAAACTGTTCCATTAAAGGAGTTTCTCTCCAAGAAAAGTTAATATTTTATTAATATTTTATTAGAAATTAAATTATGATCACTTGAAGAAAGTAACATAATTGCAATTTAATTTCTCTTCCATTTTCCCTTCTAATTTAATTCAATATGTGATAGTGTGAAAAGGGATGGTGTTTTTTTTATATCTATACTTCTTAGTTGTGAGAAAAGAGTGGGTAGTTATAAATATTTGGGGAAACTCTAAATGTTAAAAATAAGAACATGAAAACATGTAACACTTTCATGTACAATTCACAAATCAGCCTTTGAGGTGAAACAAAGTGCACTGCAACATTCTAAGATTTTCAAAAATAATGATAATTTTTATCTAGGCTTGGGAACAAAGGAAGCTTTAAAAGAAAGAGTCCTCAATGAACAAAGAAAGATGAAGAACTTCTATCATCAGATGAAGTATGAGAAAAGAGTTACATCCCTTGCTCAATAAATTACTATTTTTTCCCTTTCACAGAAGTCCTGTAATGGTTCACTGTAGAAGCTAAAAAGTCCTGCTAAGAAACACTTTAATTATATCTATCTACCTATCTACAGTATATATCTATAGAGAGAGAGAGAGAGAGAGAGAGAGATTTTAATACATAACAAATATTTTCAATCAGAAATGAACTTTTTTTTAAGGTTTTGCATTCTGAAGTAGGATTTTTTCCAAATGGTGACACATTAATTTTACATGCTCGTTTAAATAATTATGAAACTCTATTCTGAATATAAACATTACCTTTATATCCATTTGTTTTAAAACCACAACCTATGCTGCATGTATGTAATTTTTCTGTAAGTGCTACATAGATATTAATACATGTATTATACAATTATGAAAATCAATGAAATATTAAAATTATTGTAAAATTGCATGCATTCAGACCACTTATATCTGCTGTCAGAAAAGGCCATATCAGATGTACTCAGTAGACTAATCAAGTGCTGTAGGGTTTCTAATTATGTAGCAAACAAGTGACACAAAGTAAACTAAAAATATCAATGATGATGTTTATCCCATCTACTCCTCTCCAGAATCTGCTTTTGTACTCTGAAGATTTTACAGTTGATTGGTATCATACAGTTTTTACTCAGTGGAGAGGCTCACCTTTTCTTTACTTAAATTCAATTGCCCATCTGTGTGGTCTCATGATTTTGTACTTTTAAACAACCTCAATGCATGTTTGACTCATTCTCACCTTCCAGGAGGCACAAAAGTGCTGAAGAACACTTAGAGATGCCTATGAAAAAACATCCCTTGTGGAAAGGTTACCTGATGCCCAAGAGGGATAGACTTATTTGTACATCCATACCCCAGAGGTTATAGACAAAATACCAAGATCTCTTGGGAAAAGCTTAGCTGCTTAAAAGAAAACTAAGCTGTGAACAAAAGACAACACTTTGACTGAAAATAAATGTTGCCTGGCTGGGAAAACGCACGTATTGGGAGTAATTCCCTCCTAGGATAGAAATGTAAAGTAACTTCCACACAGAAAGGTGTCTCAGGAATCCCAACCTTGGGGCAATTCTGGTAGGCTGGTGGTGTTGTGAGTGAGGGATATGAGATGGGCTCTACAGCAACTATTATCTCTTAATGCTGTTTAAGAAACCAGCAGCTATCTCTTCCTCTGACATGGACAGCAGAGGTGGAGGTGGCTAACTCATTGTCATACATTCCAAAAAGTACCTGGAACATGAAAGAGAAACATAGTCCATCCTTTATCTGGCTAATTAAGCAGAAAACCAGTATTAGCAGCTTTGAGAAAATTCAAGA